CCTGTGTGTTTTATGTATTACTTCGAAAACTAAATTACCTTGATCTTTGTTAAATTCATCCATACGAGCTTGACGTTTGCGCGCTAGAAAAACGTGACACTTCTGGCGACTATAATATTTCCAATGAATTTTCTATATTCCCGTACGTGCGCGTGTTATATCTGCTTCTACAAAATATCTTATATCAGTTAAACTTTGCGGTCCTTTGTACCAGAAAATTGTTACGATATTTGAGGCACGCTGCACTATTCACGTTACAAGAGCGAAGTTGTCAGAAGTTCTTTAAAAATCAATGATTCTTAACACAGATCTGCAAAATATTGAATACTGTGATTTATGCATATCATTATTCTGTTAAAAATCATATTAGTGTAAATTTTTCGGTGTGCAATGCTAAACACAATTTGAGACCGTCTTGTAACAGTATTCTCAGATACACCGTCAGCCGAGGATGTCTGTCTTACTCTTCACATTAACTACGTTCATCCTGAGCGGATGCGCCGCTCAAGTTGTCGAATACGACTTCATCATTGTGGGTGGAGGTACAGCGGGATGTTTGCTGGCTGCACGGCTGTCGGAGGTCTCTGACTGGACAGTGCTACTGATTGAAGCTGGTGGAGAGGAGGCCGTTCTGCAGGATGTCCCTATGCTAGCAGCATTTGCTCAGTTTTCGCCGGCAATCTGGACGTATAAAACGGAGCAGTCGCCGACAGCCTGCCTCGGCTTGGACGGTCGGTGTACCTGGATACGTGGCAAAGTCTTAGGTGGTAGCAGTGTTATCAATTATATGGTGTATACGAGAGGAAATCGTAAGGATTATGACGACTGGGCAGAGGAAGGGTCCGAAGGCTGGGGATACGACGATGTCTTACCGTATTTCCTCCGGTCTGAGGACATGCTTATTCCGCGTTTGGCTGCAGACAAGAGATACCATTCCACGAAAGGAGAACTGCCAATCACTTACCCTCCATATCACACCCAGGCTGCGTCTGACTTCATCGAAGCTGGTGTGGAAACAGGATACAATGAAGTTGACTATAATGCCGCAAGTCAAATAGGATATTCTTTCCACCAGTGCACCATGAAAGACGGAATGCGGGTCAGCGCAAATCGCGCGTTCCTGGAGCCTGCGAGGACGAGGAGGAACTTGTACGTCCTGAAGAACAGCCTTGTTACAAAAATCCTCGTTCACCCGGAGAATCAGACTGCGTACGGCGTTGAATATGAATTGTGGAGTGTCCTTCCACGAAGAGCTCGCGCTAGGAAGGAAGTAATAATCTCTGCGGGCGCCATAAACTCTCCTCAGCTGTTGATGTTATCCGGGATCGGCCCTAAAGACGATCTGGAGAAATTGGGGATCAGCGTTATGCAGGACTCAAAAGTGGGCTTCAACCTGCAGGATCACATCAGTCTTGGAAACCTCTATTTCACCGCAAATTCCACGATCGGAATTCCGCCTGACTACAATCCAAACGACGTTTCGAACGTTATCAAGTACCTACAGGACCGCGAAGGACCCCTTTCAATACCAGCTGGCACAGAAGCATTTGGGTTCGAGGACATTGATGATAATGACGGTTTTCCAGAAATAGAAATAATCTTTTCAACAAGTACTACGTCGTCATTGAATGAAGTAGGGGATGCCCGGGGAGTTAGCCCCGACATATATGAAAATTACGAGTCCTTAGCTGATGAAAATTCTTTCATGATGCTTCCTGTGCTTATGCATCCAAAAAGTCGCGGTAGATTGACGCTCAGAAGTAGAAACCCCATGGACAAGCCTCTTCTTTACCACAATTACTTGACTGAACCAGAGGATGTGAATGTTCTTATAAAGGGAATCAGACGGGCAATTCGGCTGATTGACACCGCGGCCTTTCAGAGGCACGGCGTGCAACTCTTAAAAGTCCCGCTGCCTCCGTGCGAGGTTCACGAGTTCGGTTCTGATGAATACTGGGAATGTTCAATTCGCTACATGACTTTTCCCATGTACCACGAAACCGGAACCTGTAAAATGGGCCCAGATTCCGACGAGGACGCCGTAGTGGATCCACAGTTACGAGTGCGCGGTATTAAGAATCTCCGTGTGGTGGATTCTTCCATCATTCCAGTCATCATATCGGGTCATTTAGTCGCCCCAACTTACATGATCGCTGAAAAGGCATCCGACATGATCAAGAATCATTGGAATGCCACTTCCTTGTCTTAAGCATTTAGCTTACATGTGATTTGGACATGGAAAGTACTCCGTAGTGTTTCACTTTCCCTCTGACAAAAGTGTCTCGTTGTGCCAACTAGTTTCTTAGGTGCCATCACTTATTTTGTCGTAGATTTAACATTTCACATGAGAGTGTGGAAAATTTGGAGGCGGTTTGTCTTAGTTAAATGCAAATGTACTATCGTTACGAAGACTGTGTTCGTAATTGATATACCGCCATCTTCATGACGTTGTCTTGTTACCTACAAGTATGAACATCAGCAGTGGTGAATCCTGGTGTATTGAGTCAGGTTGTGTTATTAAATTCTTCAACAATTGCGTCATAATATCTAAGGTATTTTAATAATAATAATAATTTTCCGCCATGGTGTTTCTTTTACATTCCTCCAAGCTTTGGTGATCTGGCGGCCTACTACTAGGCAGATCTGCCCATTAGCCACGGATTTATAACTTGTGTTGGGCAAGGCCGTGGTCTAGGCAACACGGAGTTTTCCTCCGTGGCATCCCAACAATTACTCCATTCACACACAGAAGAAGGCAATGGCAAACCACTTCTGGATCATCTGCCAAGAACGTATATGAACAGGTCCCAGTCCGAGAAAAGGATGGAAGGATCCTGTTCATATGGACCTGTCGTCAGACAGAACACTAAATAAAATAAAATAGCACCAAAATAAATAATGTACACCAAAAACATTTTCTGGTATTTGTGCTTTCATCCACGTCCAAATCTCCAAAGCAGTCTTCGTTCAGAATTCCAGACAATTCTCTTTTTAAATCTATCATCTTCCGATGGGGATTTTTCTTGATATTGCCGATTGAAGTGGCCACTTAGATCGAGGTTCCTAATTCCACTGAAGCCACAGATGTGTGTCCAGTTCTCCCTGTGTTGGGGTTGGTTTCAAGGCGCTATCTGCTTGTTTTAATTTTATTCCAAAATAAGCCGTTTAAGAGCCGAACATCTGTTTACTGCAGACTAGCAATAAGCAAATGTAGGCCATTTTCACTATTTAGACACTTTAGACCATAAATATTAATGCAGCTATCAAGACGTTAAATCTGACGCTGGCCACCTCATAGGTCCACTGTGTCTGTTGTGCTGATTTACCAATCAGGAATTTGTCCATCAATAACTTGTCGTTAGAATGCAAGGCACTCATCATGTTGGAACCACATGGACAGACATGTTCAAGCGATAGGTTTCTGAAGAGAGGAAGCTTCAGATGTAAAAACGCTTAAATCTATTCCCTGACAAATATCCTTCAATAAAATATTATCCAAGGCCGCCAATCATGTTATAAAAGATGTTTTAATGCCGTTGGGATCTTGTACAGTATCACTGAAAGAAGAAGTCCATCGAATGTCTGAGTGCGATTAACTTAAATCTCATTAAATTAAATTCTGGATGTCTGATATAACGGAAAGTCATTGCTCATAAAGTGTTAGCACAAGAAACAAAAATTATCATATTTTTGGCGATTATCAATTAATTTGCTGCAATAAATGTTTAACATTAGATATCCTGTAAGATTTGAGGTTTTCACATCTGTGAGTATGAAGATTTCTGTCTTCTGGGTTGTTGCGCTGTGTAGTCTGGTTGATGTTAACCAACGTTTCAGAGGTCATACTGCCTCCATCATCAGGGCGATGAGTATGAAGATTTCTGTCTTCTGGGTTGTTGCGCTGTGTAGTCTGGTCGATGTTAACCAACGTTTCAGAGGTCATACTGCCTCCATCATCAGGGCGATGAGTATGAAGATTTCTGTCTTCTGGGTTGTTGCGCT